GAAATTTGATCCTATTTCAACTTATTTCAGTGGCAAAACTCTTGCCGTGACTTTAGAGGGAGTGAGACTGCATCTTAATTCATTCAATGTGAAGAAGACAAAAAAAATCAGCTGAGAATAATGTTCTTGTTTATTAGATTTAAATTACTGCCATAGCTGAGTTTAACAGTGTTAAGTAAATCCTGTTTTAAAAGCCAAAGGTTGCCTTCAGTCTTGCCTTTTCCAAAGTGCTGTGTCACAATGCAGGGTCCTGGTCCTCTGACCAAATCAGCACTGATCACAATAAGCATGGCTTGCTTTTGGGGAATGGTCACATTCCCACATGGCAATGCTATATATTTGTGGATGTCAGTGTGGACAATGTCCAAATCTAGGCTGGGGCACACCCCCTAGCCAAGAAAGCGGGAGGCACACTTCGTTTTCCAAAGTGCTGTGCCACAATGCAGGGTCCTGGTCCTCTGACCAAATCAGCACTGATCACAATAAGCATGGCTTGCTTTTGGGGAATGGTCACATTCCCACATGGCAATGCTATATATTTGTGGATGTCAGTGTGGACAATGTCCAAATCTAGGCTGGGGCACACCCCCTAGCCAAGAAAGCGGGAGGCACACTTCTGTAATATAAATGTATTCTAATGAGTTATAAATGTAGTCTTGTGAAGCGGCTGAGGGAACTGAGGTTGTTTAACCTGGAGAAGAGGAGGCTGAGGGAAGACCTTATCGCTCTCTACAACTGCCCGAAAGGAGGTTGTAGCCAGGTGGGGGTTGGTCTCGTCTCCCAAGTAAGAAGCAATAGGATGAGAGGAAATGGCCTCAGGTTGTGCCAGGGGAGGTTTAGATTGGATATTAGGAAAAAATTCTTCACTGCTGTCAATCACTGGAACAGGCTGCCCAGGGAAGTAGTTGAGTCACCATCCCTGGAGGTGTGTAAAAGACGTGTAGATGTCAAACTTAGGAACACAGTTTAGTGGTGGACTTGGTAGTATTAGGTAGTAGGGGTCTTTTCCAAACTAAATGATTCTATGATTCTTTGAGTGCACAGACTACTTCTAAGATGTCCATGAAAAGCTAAAAAATAAAGCAAATCGATAGGCTTAAATTTACATTTAGGAGTCTGCATTTCTACTGGAAAATTTTAGGAGGGCCACAAATTGAAAGAGGTTGAATTTTTTATTATTTTTTTTTCCTAGAAGGCAATCCACCTTCTGGTCTGGTTATTCTCTGTCTCTCCCTCTAAAGTAAAACCTAGAAACACACACAAAAAATCTGTATAAAAGTGTCTGCCAATAAATTGGCAACGACTACTACCCAAAAGATAGACAGAAATAAGACTGTCTACTACAATATGAATTTAACACATTTGCATGTATTAATTATGAAACCGGCCCTTCCCTTCTTCAGTAACAGAACTGATGTCATCCTGTAAATGACAGTATTGAATTAGACTGGTATACGAAAACCTTCTGCATTTGCTGTAGAGGTAGGAATGAGGATGTTAAATGAGGTAGTAAACAGTAAGATTAGGGAAGCTGAATGTCACTTCTGTGCTTGCAGAGTTCTGCAGTTTGGATGATGGCCATAGGGTATGTCCAGCCACATGAGAATGAATGATAAATACACACTGTTGCTCATGTGTTATACCAAGACTATTAAAATACGGAATATTACTCAAAAAATCAGGCCTGAGTTTTCTAAAGATGGTAATCTTCTCTTAGAAGACAGTTTGTTTACCTTCTCCTAATATTAAAGCTATAACATAATAATAGAAACACCTCATAATCTTGTAAAAGTGTCTAAGAGGTATAGATTAATTAAGGTCTATGCAGTGAGAGCACCCTAGAAGCATCATGACGGCAGTGACAATTTCTGGGATATGAATGACATGCACTGATATCTAAAAGCTAAAGTCTAAGTGAAGAAAATAAAAAGAAATATTGAACAATTATTTAATAATGAATTGGGGGAAATGTGGGAATATAGGATGAGGTATGTAATTAAAGATCACAGTGTATTATATTAACACAGGTGGAGCATACATGACTTTGCCTCTGTATTACAAGATATTTTAAATTACTTTTGTGCGTTTGTAGTTTTACGTGTGTGATTTTTTATAACTGGGTCAAACAATGAAGGAAATCCGCCATATGACATCATGTTTATACCCACATCATTCACTGGAATATCTGTGTCTTAACATTTCCGGCACAGATTTCTGCCCCTGAAGCTATCTCACAGAAGATGAAAACCTATAACTGCCATGCAGACAAGCTCTAAAATTTTAATTGCTGTCTGAATGCAGAGAACTTGTGACGCACCATGGTTTATTGGACCACTCTTGTGGTTATAGACACTTCTTTTAGCTACCCCACCCTGCTCCTTCTCCCTCTTCCTCTATCCACCACTGACTTCTTTCTATCTCAATTTTCTCCTTCTCTGTGTTCCTTTAACACCACTCCCTCTTCTTCTTTCTCTCTTCTTGTCCCCTGCACTTCTTCATCCTTAACATTCATGATGTGGTGTTCCCTTTCTTCTCCTTACCTTTAGGGCATGGGAAGAAGCCGTTCCCTAGCCCTCAGCTGAGGTATGCTGGGCTGCAGCTGTGAGATGAAGTAACTGCAGGGGAAAGTCCTGCTCACTTCCAGCTCTCCTGCCCAAGCAAATGCTCAGCCATTCTGGGAAGATGGAGCTATGCCATCCCATAAACACACTGCACTTGGAAGGGGATGAAACCTTCCCTTGAAGGACAACATCTTTAACAGCCAAAGGAACACACAGGTTTTCAGAGCTGCCTGATGTGGCCAGTTTTGGTCAGTTTTCCATAAAGAAGGAAAAGGGCCCATATGATCCTCCTGATGATATTTCAAGTCCTAATTCCAAAGAATGGAGATGCCAGGACTTTTGAATGACATGACTGTAAAAATTTTATGAGGACTGGCAAGACAGTTCATTTCTCCTACATCTTATTTTCAGAAACCCTGGAGTGGAGTTATTTAGGCTGGAATACTTGGGGGAGGGGGGGAACAGGGAGAAGGTAAGCTTAATTCTGACAACTATATTAAATAGTCAGAATATGTGCCATGCTGTTATCAACAACAAAACCGTGATTTAATTATGACAAGCACTACCTGCACCATTTACAATGTAAAAGTGTGAAAATAAAGCAGTAACTTTTTTTCTTGTTCCCTGTGGAAAAAGAAAAATAACCCCCTCAAAAAAAGAAAAAAAAAAAAAGAAAAAGAAAAAAGCAAGAGTCAACAACAAAGTCTGATAATTCACTTTCCTTTGGCTTTTCAGTTCCATCACAGCTCTCCAAATTAAGATTTATGTGCCATTTCGTATCTGTTGTTGCTTTTTTTTTCCCCCTTCAGGGATATAGGTGGATAAGTTTGGATAGGAAACTGTATCCCTCAAGCAAAACTGAAAGGTTTATAAAGTTGCCAATAAAAGTTTGGGTCAGGGCCTAAATATCAATCATCCACTCATTGTCTTTTTAAACGAGCTCAGGCATTTTCCCAACCACTCCCAGCAGGTCTCTGCCACTATTTTAAAATAAGATTTCAGTGAATTATTTTTTTTTTTTTCCCCTGTGTTGACCTCAATAATTTTTGTCTCTCCCCCTCCTTACCTGCCAAATGCATCCATCAGGCTTTTGCCAAAGGCTATCCACCTTTGAAGTCGAGAGGAATTCACTAATCGTGAATGTCAAATCCACAATAAATGCCATCACCATATGGTATATGCTGCTATTGGGAATTATCTCGAAAGGCCTAGCTGTGAAAAGTCTGGCTGTATGTTAGGGGGATTTTATTGCTAACTTTCATAACTCATGTCAGGTCTTTTCAGTTTCTGTGTTCATTGGCTTAAGTGAGTGCAACTGTTTCCTGAATTTATAAAAATGTTGTCAAGATCCCTTGATCTGTCTTCCTCTGCTTCTCTCACACAAACACATTCAGGCACAGGGGAATACCGTACCCAGTGGCATACAAATCCAGCAAAAGAGAAGCTTGTAAATAAATAGTATGTCATTGTGCTTACTCAATAAATTCCTGTGTGTGTTAAACTCATGATAAACACATCATAACCACTGATGAAGGCTTTACAGCCTCCTGTCCCATCACACCTTCCTGAGTGTAATTCTGTAATGCATAGGAAGAACTAAGTTTGAAAAGCTGAGAGCAGAATTAGTTCTGATGAGGGCAGGGTGCTGACAGAACTGAAAAAATAGCTAACTGGAGAGCATTTGCTTTAGCTAAAGAAGACAGTATCAAAGTGATGTATCTCTGTGCCTCGTAAAAACTGTGGAAGTGTACTGTATATTCAAAGCAAGAAGAAACCTACCTCCTTTAAGAACTTGCCCAATAAAGAATGTTTTAACACCTCAGCCTGTAACATTCTCAACAAGAACTACGCATAAGGTTAAGAAAGTCCTCAGAAAAATACGCTTTTGTGATCCAAAGAGGTAAGAAGAAAGAAAACAACATTTCAAGAGTTTCACATACCAGCTTAGTGATAAAGAAAAAAAATTATTACAGAAATAAATTGTCGATGCCATTTGAAACACTTAAGGCAGTGCTCTTGACATTTGCCTGATGCTCTAGAAAGGTGTGAGTGCCCTCCATGTCCCATGTCACCCCCACCACCCACATGGGAATGTCTCCAATGGACCTCATGGTGTTTCAAGTAGCACTAAAAACCTACGTTTAGGCAATGACTTCCCTCTAATTTATATATGGTATATTAATATCTTCTAGGAGCAAACTGAAATAATAGTTTTAAAACCCAGTTATATTTCAGTAACATGTATCCCTCCACCCAAAAAAGAGAATTTAACACTGTCCCTAGGCAGAATTCATCCGTCTTTAAGAGTTCTATCACGTGTTTCTGGGAACTGTCGGGACAACTGCATTTCGTTTTCCTGATTAATAATACAAATGAACTGCTGGCAACATCACATCAAAACAAAAGTGGCAGAATCAGAAAAACTGCTGAAAAGTTTACCTTTATAGGAAAGCTTAAGTCTTGGGATATTTTGTTTTGACATTCCAGTGACTGGAAGGAACAGCATCACTAAAGATAACAGGCTGCAGACATGTGGTACTTGGGAAGCTCTCATTCTGCTCTCTTCTGTGTCTTCTTTTGCACTATGGTGAAATATGTCCCCGCTTTCAAACAATCCAAATTTAATCTGGAAGAAAAAACAAAAAACATCTGTCGATTTTTTGCATTATTACATAAATAATAATTCTGAAAGCAAGCCAGATCTATCTTTATAGAGTAGATCATTTAACACATTTGTTACAAAAGTATTTTTTCTTCTACTATAAATCAAAATGTTGTAAATCTGTTTCTTTAATACTAAATTTACACACTTTGAGGTTGGAAAAAATACGTTAATTTTGCAAATGCCAATGTCTAGCATAGCTAAAGTTTAAGCACAAATTAATTAATGCAGTATCTATAAAAAGAACATTCACCTTTCAAAGGTGATCATGCAACTCTTTAGTTCATGCTGCTCCATTGGATGCTTAATGTTTTCTAACTCTGTCTTTATCTCAGTACAACAGCTATTGTATGTTTATGCTATGACTAGAATAAACTGCAATATCTTAGATACCATGGGCGTACAAGCTGAGTTAACAATGAGTACATACCCATCATAAACTTTCATAAATAAACTAAGAAATTTGGATAGAGCAAACAGTTGTGTTTAGTTTTCATAGAGAAAAACGTCAATGCAGCTGATGGATTTAAATGTGCTTTCAGTATGATATTTCCAGCAGAGCAACTGCCTCTATTCACCCACCAAAATGTCCTATAAACTTTAATGAGTGGTTCATGCTGAGGTCAATAGGCTGATATGGGACTTTGCTAGCACAGTGTGCAACTAAGCCAGCTTTGCACAACTTTTCTCTTAATAACAGTAATTCGTATTCTGTAAATCTTAAAGTGTTTTACAAATGAAAGTAATTATCAGTGTCCTTATTTTCCCTGTGCAAAAATGGCATCATAAAACTACAGTGAACCTACTTCCTCAAGGTCACACTGCCACACCAGTTGCTGAACAGAAAGCAGCAACAGTTCTCCTGGTGTCCTGTTTGTACTCACTTATAAGGGATTCCTTTTGCCCAATAACTCCACTTTTGCATATGAAATAATTTGAAATGGCATCCTGAGTTTTGAAGGCAGAATTTGACAGTTAAGAAATCACAGAGGTCAGAGCATGAAAATATCTGTGAGAGCAGATCCTTCCCCCTGCAAGTACATGATACCAGAGGTCAAGGGAGATAGTTAGTGAAATGACAAATGTCAGTGTTTGAGTAATGCTGTAAATCAGGGAGTGAGGAAATGTTATGGTTAGTAGCGAGATTAATGGCTCATGATTTGCCATGAAAATTCTTTTCTGAAAGGTACTGAAACTGCCTGATTAAAAGAGTAATCCTAGTGCCCACATCAGCCAGCACTTGCAGGAACATCAAAAGAAAGGCTCCTTGTGAGCTCGTGAGAGATGCAGCACAGCTCGTGGCCCCGGAGCCGTTCCACAGGTCTGGCACATAAGTTTGCTGCAGCACGGTGGGCAGAACACCTCTGCGAGCTGCAGAGGCATCCAGAATCAATTTAGCACCTCATGATGCAGGCAGTACATCCTTCCTGGCATGAAGGGACTGGAAGGAGGACCCCTTCAGTTCTCTCTGCCAGAGGAAACCTCAGATGAAGCTGGGGCTTTCTGAGCATCCAGACCCTCTGCCAATAGAAAAGACAAGGGAGTGTGCAGGAAGGGTGTGATGGGGAAAGAGAGAGACAGAAACGATTTGTCAATTGCCCAAAGCATCCTTCCTGTCGCAGAACATTGAGCTTCTTTCTTCTCAATCCCTTCTTCAACACTCACATCCAGTGTCTGAATGCACTACTTTTGGCCAAGTGCCATTACATATTCATGAGATGACATGTAAAGAAAACAAACCAAACATGAAATGCCTCTGGTTCATCTTTCCCTTCCCTTTATTAGGGTAAAGGATCCTGAGAGAAGTCCCATGCAAGAAATCCCACATTTATTTGTGGTTGAACTATGAAAGACTGCTGTTGACTAGACTATCACAAGGTTATATCACCGTAAAGAAATCTATTTTGGGGGGGGGGGGGGGGGGGAGGAGAAAAGTGAGGAAGAGGAGGATTATATTAAGACAAGAGACATCAGCCCTGTTCATCTTCAGCAGAATGGTAGAGACATTCTTCAAAAGGAAGGAATCAAGAGGGAGCCAGTCTCACTGCAAATATGCTGAGAAGTCACAGCTTGTGGGTTTGGGTCTCAGCTAATAGGGATCTCACCAGAGGATTTGGGCTCATTTTCTTGAGGTAAAGTACATTGAAGAATCAAGACTAAATTTGTTGCTTATAGAAAAAACAGTTGCCTGAACCCACTGTCATTTGTTTAGCTGCAAATTGAGGATCAGCACCAAACTTGCCCTTTTGGTTATAGCTCACAATCTCATTTTCTCAGGTAGGGTTCTTTTGCTAATGGAAACCTTCCTTCTTTTTTTTTTTTTTTCCTTTTTTTTTTCCTTTTTTTCCCCCTTTTTCTTTTCCCCTTTTATTTGAATAATGTCTGTGAAAAACCATTTGCTTTAATTCCTGACACAAGGCAGTTAGTTTACACTGGAGGCAGCTGCTCTGTGAGCTCGAGCCAACCCTGTCTTGTCCTAAATTCATTGCAATCTGGCCAGATTGTCACATATATTTTTAGTTTATGATGATCTTCTAATACAATTCCAGCTTCTGCACAGAGTCCTTCCAGCAGTCTAATGACTAGCTCAGGTTAATGAACTTCAGACCAACTAACTGGCCATTAATCTTCAGGAAATATCCTTCCTTTCTGTAACATATGCAATGTCAATCAGTGTCCTGTGCTTAGAAGAGCCATAGTCATGCTGCTCAGAGGTAATCAGACCCATGAACAGAAACAAAGTATAAAACCTAAAAGCAAATCTAACTCCCCCGTTCTTTTTCCCCTCAAAAGTAAGAAGAGTTTTGTCAGAGGACGAAAAATTATTGTTTTCTTTAGTTCTTTGATAGTTCTTCTAAGCACCAACACACTCTAAAACTTCCTCCTCATGAACAGACCCAAAGGAGTTTGAAAAGAAAAATGTTGAGGCTAAAGCTGCTTGGCTTCGGCTAGGAAATATCTGCACTGTGTTAATTATCACCTGTGAGACCAACTGGGGAAGGAAGCTATGCATACACCTCGCTGAAGTAGGGGTATTTCCAGAGGAAATAAATAAAGGAGCGATTATTTGCCCCACATGGGGATGGGAAGCGGGATGCTGAAGAGGGGCCGAGGAGCCTGGCTCCGTCCTGCTAGGACCTCCCTGCAGGCCTCATAAATTCGAAATGGACTACAGGTTAAAGCTGCCAAAAGACAAAATGTTGGTCTGCTGGTGTACTACCACCTTGCCAGAGAGAGGCAGCTGGATGTAACTGGCACATGCGTGATGTCACTTCCCTGAAATGAGGTGTCACCTCCTTGCAATTGGTCAGATTTAGTGGAGCCTATAAAACAGATTGCTCTGAAGCTACTGTCTGAAAGAGGAAAACCTGGAGCCAATTTACTAAACATAATTTATTCCAGGCCCTTTGTTGCAATAAACAGAGCTCTTCAGCCTCCTCAAACACACAGACAGTAGGGAGCTCTGTGCTTATGGGAGTTTTTTCAGATTGTCGAGCTCAAACCTATCTAAATGCAAAATCTTGCATTCACAAATACTGTGTAGGTTTCCGACTTCTCCTGGCGTCACAAAGTCCAGAGCTGGAAGGACTGTGACCCATCTGCAAACACACACTTTTTTAACAGTAGTTTATGCAACTCTCAGTTTAATTCCATAACAAAAACCTATACGGAACTGGAGAATAATTTAAAACTTGTCTCCAGCACTAGTTTTCCAAGGCCATTTTAAAATTCAGAATTTTTTACTTCAATAAAGTGGACAATGAAAACTGCTTGCAACAAATACAGAAAAGCAATTAACCAAATGATATGGCTTAGTTATACTGAATCTAATAGCAATGTTACAAATTGTAACTGCTGAAAATCTAGAGCAACCTTTGAGTTGGCTCATGTCAATTAAAAAAACCTAGAATAGAATAGAAAAATGTCTGATAGTCACTATGGACTTATAAGTAAGCTGAATAAGTTACCTAGGCCATTTAGTCTCAATATGTAAACCATTATCTCTGATGCCCCAGTTTTTCTTTCTTCTCCTCAGCTGTCCCTGTCTGAGATCTTGGGGTTTTGTTTTATTTTTCCATGGACTGAGAAGAGAGTAAAAGATATCCCTTGCAAACATCAACAAAATAGCATGTTTAGCCTGGTAGACGAACATATTGCTCTAGAGGATTTAAAATTAATTAGCTGAAAAAAGAAACAAAAAATACCGCACCTACAATTCAATGGTATTGAACTGTATGTTGTCTGGGTTTTTTTGAATGTTATCTATCTGCTCATATTGTACATATACTTCATATATATGTATACAAATTTGGAGCACGTTACTTTAACTGCAAATGTACAGATATACGTTTCCAATGCATTTGCTTGTAGCTGTCTCATCTATAAATTATCACATATATTCCAAGAGGAAAATTACTATGGTTGTCTACTGTGTGGTTCAAAACTCAACTATAATCATAAAATGGATATCGAATATCCTGTGTTAACAAGAGGGAAAACTACAAGCATACGTGAGTCAGATTTATAACTCATAAAATAAAATAGACTAAAAATAAAATTATATCTCCAGACTTACTTAACATCCTTAAGTTACTTTTTAAATAACAAAGATGACATTCATCCAGAGCAAAATGAAATGATGTTCTTGTACCCCTTAGATAGATGTTCTGTTGATATACTATTTGGCAGAGGAGACTTTTCTCTTCAATGTGAAATCTCAGTTTAAAGCTAACTCCATCCAAGAACTAGTAAACAGTATTATTCATCCCTATTCTCCCATTTATTAAGTAGCTTTTGTGCTGTTTATAGTGCAGCAAATGTTCTCTTCCAGGATTCTGAAAAACACTTCTTTTTACAAAAAACTCAGATCAGTATTACATCACTTCCCAATA